ACTTCACTTCGACTTTTGTCAGAGGGCTTGAGTTCACTGATAGTTCTGTGGCTCAGTTGCTGGTGATATTTTTGAGTGATTCAAGAACTTTTTGAAGTGATCAGCATATCGTTTTGTTTGTCTCTCTTCTCTCTCTCTAATTACATTTACTTCATTATCTTTGTTGATCTCTTTCCTCCCTAATAGCAACCTGCTTATTTGATACAATGTTGTCAGGTCGCTGTCTCTCTTACCTGCAGTCTGTTTTGCTTCACTTGTGAGTGTGTCACAGAAGTGTCTTCTGTCTTTCCGTGCACTCTTCTTCACTTCTTTGTCCAGTGTTTCATACGTTTTACCCAGTTACTCTTCTCGTCGTCCATCCTTGCACTGGTTCATCTTCTGCTTCACCATCCTCCTCTCCCTCATCTATCAGCTTCCATGTGCCCGTCGAGATCCATTCCTTATCTTCTTTCTTCTTCCTTCCTAGTACGGTTATGCAAGTCTCCTTCCAAATAGCTTCCAAAGACTTGCGTTGTTCATCCACACAAGTTTCTTCAGGGATGTTGCTCGATATCTTCCATCTTGTCTTGATGGCTGACGTGAAGATTTTCTCAGTAGTTCCGTCCTTCAGTTCAGTTTCTGTTCTGCGTGTTGGACTTGAACTTTGGTCTATCACCAACTTCCTTGAAGGCTTTCAACTTGATTTTGAAGGCAGGTTCCTTAGACTAGACAGTGAGTGGTGTGAACCTACATCTGCTCCCATTCTTCATCTTGTGTCCAGTAGGCTGACTGCATCTCCACTTTCTTGAGATTGAGATGAAGTCGATCTGATTTTCAGTGTAGTGTGTCCTGGTGTCTGGTGAAATTCATGTCGCTCTGTGAATATCCTTGTGTTTATACACAGTCTCCAATCACTAAGTCACTGAATGCGCAGAAGTCTGCAAACAATTCTCCTTTTGAGTTGAACCTTGCTGTTGTGATCCTGCAGGAGGAGATTGGTTCCCACTGCATGAGAGAGAGCCTTCGGTGCTCTTCAAGGGGACATCATGATAGCCACTCGAAACTCAGTGTGCTGTGCTCGTGGTTGTCGTCTGGGTGACAATATCGGAGTGGATTATTGACTATCCAGTTGACAGTTTGGAGAGTCCACTTCTATTCCATCTGCTTTCACAGATTCCTAGCACTTCAATACTATACCTTCTCATCTCCTTTGCAATCTGGGCAGCCTTGCTAGGTTAGAACATTCTTTGTCTCCATTCCTACTTTCGCTTTCATCGACAGAGGGAAGACACATCGGCCAATTGGTTTCTCGAAGGCTTTCAACAACCGACGTCATTTCGTCTCTCCGATTTCAGCAAGGAATAAGTTTGTTTTTGTTTTTCATATTTTGTTTGTGCTTTGAAGTTTCTCTAGGGATTGGATTGGTTTTCCGTGGTAGGGTTGCTAGCCCTATGCCCAACCTTCCCTGTTTATCGGGGCTTATGACCACTAGTAACTAGTGAACTAGTTAACCAGGAGAGGTTAGAAGATGTAGTTTTAGTGACAGTGAATAAAAAATTAGTTACTGTTAACGAGTGGTTGGGAAAATGAATTTTTTGGTTTAACTTGAAAAATGCTTTTAACATTTTGTATAAATAAATATAAAGCAATATATTTATGAGAACTATTTTACCTATGAATTACATACACCTCTGATGTCTACTCATTTTTCTATGCTGCTCACAGTAGAATCAACATTTTTATTGTACTGTAATTACATATGGAATAGCAAACTATGGTATTTTTAATTTGAATAGTTCCAGTAGTACAGCTCAGTTATTGGTTCTTGTAGTCTTACTTTCTGTGATAGTATATAACTTATCTGAGCCTCTTGCGTTCAACAAACTGCTCCTAATTTACAGTGATTGGGATATTCTTATTACAGAATCTGGACCATTACGTGCTTCGCTACTTGTTCAGTGTGCCTTTTCTCTATCTCTTTCTCTAATTTTCTGCAGTGGTTATATCCAACTGATAAGAAACTGATTTCATTCTTACAAACTACAGTATGCATTTCTTATCAGTGCATATATGTATCTTTTCAGTAGTGATTAAACACTAAGTGTAGATAATAGCCTTGAAAATAATCATCCCTATCCCATCTAACTGTGTTACTTCGGTCTACAGGAACATGAAGTTTTCAAATTTTGTTCACAGGAACAGGTGAATGCCAGAGTGGTGGAAAGTATTTGTAGTTCAAGTGAATGACGTTGGTTGTTTTTTACCCCTCAGCCGGATGGATTAATCGTGAAGCTTCAACATGAAGTTAGTCATATTGAAGTTAGTGCTGATATAAACATTAATATGAATATGAGCAATAATTTATGTTCAAAACATTATCAAGTAAATAATACTGTACCACTGTATGCTGTTACAGATCAAATAAACAAGTTTATTACGATTATATTGATCTTAGTGATTGGCAGAGGAATCCAGGACGCGCTTCTCATCATCTGGATGTACATGCACCCCAGTGAGTGATGTCCTACCTGCTGAGGCTCGAACTCAGTGCCCTTCGCTTCAAAAGACACAGCGTTATCCACTAAGCCACTGGGGCACGATAGCTATCTCTTGGCTTAGTGGATAACGCTATGTCGTTTGAAGCGAAGGGCACTGACTCCGAGCCCCAGTAGGAATAACATCACTCACTGGGGTGCATGTACATCCAGCTGATGAGCCCCATATAGGACAAAAAGCGCGTCCTGGATTCCTCTTCCAGTCATTAAGATCATTATAACACCACGAATACCAGGCAGTATCAAGGCATCTGCATAGAAGCCCATCTGCTAACAGAGGTTGAGTGATTCGGCCCTGTATAGCATCGCGAAATTACAAGTATTATTACATTTTACCACAATGCCCAGGTTTTACACTTATATCAATAGTATCCACCGGTCTATATTCCTGTCGTACATAAGACTCGAAACAGAAATCCCCGAGGTAGCCAAACGTCATATTTTAAATTTAAGCAATTGTTTAACTTATGAATACATTGCGTATTAATTCTGTTAAAAGTTAAGTATTGACGAATAAGTATTCTTTTTGATAACTTATTTTCAATTCTACAGTTATGAATTCAACTTTGTAATAGCACATTTTTGCAGCGATTGTGCATCAAAATGAATACAAAATTATAGTTAGATTGATTTAAGTTTGTGGATGATAATATGACGCATATTTGTTAAACTGTAAAACTTGACGAGTTGTTGAAAAGAATATTCTTCGTTCATATTTGAAATTTATTGTATGACATGAGAATCTTCAAGTGTTTATTTCTGTTGGATTCTTAGCTCGATGGGATCGGAGACTTTATGTTATCTATGTCTGAAATACGTCAGGCAGTCAGTAGTTCTGGAGCAGATCCATCATTAACCAACACTGAAATCTGGGTCAATGTAACCTACTACAATTGGTGGGAAAAAACTCATCGAAGGGGTTGGGCTTTCACAAAGGTGTATTCTTCTAACCCACTGATCAAATTTCTTGGTGGTATGGTTAGACCTTTTAAGCCTAATATGTATTTTACTGTTTATGTAAGTTTGCTTGTCTCATCCATGTAGTTTACGTCACAGTTTTTTCCAGTATGGTGATTGCTTTTGAGTAACACCAGGTTACAATAAAAACTTATGCTTATGTCAGTTTAAGATGAATAATTTAACAAAACTTATTCATAAAACGGTTTTTCAAAAATAACAGTCAGATCTTCGCATTCTTAAAGCATTTCTGCAAGCAGTATCTACAAATCTGCTTGACTGAGGTTTTCAGTATGCTAAGGATTTTTTCTAACACGATATAGAAACACAATTCAAAGTTAGAGAAGAATATGAATCTCAAGAAATGTAGTAAACCAATTAAAGAATAAGTATGTACTTGGAAATTTTCATATAATTTCGTTGGCCGAACAATGAGTGATGCAAAAATTAAACACTCGTAGGCCATGTGTTTAAACTCACCCTCGTAATTCACTTCTCAAACCTGTACATGGATCCTGAGAATGCCTGTTGTGCTGAACCTAGAGATTTTTGTAGAACAGTCATGGAATTCGACTAATTACCTGTAGAAGCGCAGAGGTTAGATGGATTTAACTTCGATAACCTTTTTTCACAGATAAACCTAATGTGGTGGTTGAATCATGAGCCGTACACACCTGACCTTCTCCTATTCGGACCAGTGGTATTGAGTAGAGTAATATTAGTTTGAGGAAAATATAATAATGATCAAGTCAATTTACGGCATTAATCTATGCAGTCTTCTAATGTATGTGAAACTATAGACATTATGGTTAGGTTCCCAGAAACGCTGAACATCAGTGCTATCAGACTGACTTTGTAATAGCCCAAAATCGACCAAAAGGACAAGGATGCCTTCACTCTTGAAAGTTATATTACTCTTGATTTATTTTTCCTCTCCTCATACATATCTTTTTTTAAAAATCCCAATATCAACTTGTAATTTGAATTTCATATCGGTTTCAAAAAGTGAATTTCAGCTGTCCTTCTCTAAAAAGGTTTAATGTATCTTGTCTTCTCTTTCTTTCGCTGCTAGTTGGTTGTTTATATGGCTGACGGTAGTATGGTCAAGTATAAAGGAAACAGAAAAGTTACCCTCTCATTCTATTGCCTTGATAATACTTTTGAAAATCAAATTACCTTGCCTGTATCTGATGATGGTGTAATACGTTACACGTATAGACCATCTGGCGAAGGATGCATTACCTACAGACTAGAAGTAAGCTCATCATTTTCGGGTTTTTTTCCTTCCTTGACTCAATTATATATTTTTGTTTCCGCTGGCCAGTGATCATTCTTTTTAATGTATTCGTGAAGTAAGTGCTATTACCTATATAGGCTTTTTCCCCTGTTTATGTATCATGCTTTCCTACCGATTTACAGTAAAATAGGTAATGACCACATCATATACCATTAAAGAAAGTGATAGAGTTAATCAGTTTAAGTAATGCATGTTGTAAAACACCCTATGGACTACCATATACTCTACTGGCAGTATTTGACGCTATGGCGTTTAAAGTTATCGATGCCAATACCAAATTTCTGAGAAATTCAAGCAAATACAACTGTAAGAAAAATTATTCCTCTAAGGTTTCCTGTAAGTGGATATTCCCTAGAAATCGTTTCCGAAACAGCACTGAAAGTAAGTTTATTATTCAATTCAAGTAAGGTAAGATCTTATGAGAACCCTTGATATATCACTTCAGAAAACTCCAGAAGAATTGTTTTTGCACAATTTTCAAACAATGAGTACCATTTACTGAGCTGATTGAGTAACTCATGAATGTAATGAATTTAAGTAACATAGTCGAAAGACTTATTTTATCTGAACAATGTGATGTACTTGCGTCATACATTTTAAACAATCTGATCGCACATTTACTTGTTAAGGCATTTTATATGAAAATGGAAATTGAGGAAGGAAAAATATGACATGGAGGAATTTACTCTTAATCAGAAGGCAATCATTTGAGAATGATAAGTTTTGAAGACAACTTTGTTAATATAATGAGATAACCATTACCAGGGTAGGTCTAGTCTAGAGATAAAAAGTTTTGAACACCCAACAGGCACTTACATTTTTTTACGGCTAGCACTTCAATAAACCTAATTATACGCCCCAACAGTCTTTATACAATATTATGAAGGATGTTTTAATACCTATCCTATGACCTTTATCAATAATGTGTTTTTCAGTGGTTGATAATGGTTGTCTGCCACCTGCGCTTACCAATGTTCGTGAATCCAGCTGCTTTTGTCGCCATTTTGGTACATGTTTTATGAATCTAACTATTAGGGCAATTTTCATCCTAACTTCTAACAAATATTGAAAATACATCCGATTAAAAAATTGAAAGACAGTTAACAAATGTCAGAAGAGAAGGATATCATTAACATTTGTTAAAGTACTGAGTGTTTTACGGACTGATAGTCAAGAAATTGGCTGAATCATAAAGCAAGCGAAAAAAATGCGGATTATTACTTGTAATGTGAGTTCAATTTTTTTAAGAACTAAGTTACAAAAGGATGAGAAAGTTACATGACAGGAAGGTGAACCTCAGGATGATACCAAGGTGTAATTTTAGTTCACCTATTCAATCGATTTAAACAGCGAAACATTATTAATACTTGAAATATGATTTTCCCTATAACGAATCACACTTTTAAGTGCTTATGAGGATTGTGCTGACGTTGAGTGTTTTCGCAGTAATTAGATTAATTTATGATCAATTATAATGCTTTCAGGTCTCTCAACAAACGTTACTTTTTGACAGTTCAATCTCAAAGTCTACAACTCACTGTTTTAGTTTGTCTGTTGATTAAAGCATGGCTGTCACTGACTGCTTTCAGTGGACTTTAATATTTCATAGTTTCCCATTCGAACCCTGGAAAATCGATTTGTCATTCTGTGGTGAAAACTTTCAGTTCCTTACCAACCCCTCGACTGAGTAAAAATTACATTATTTTCATATGTCAAGAGTAGATTAGTCAATGAATGAGGACTGTTAAAAGTTATCAACAGGTATTGATGAATACAATTTATTTATTGTACATTATCTACTAGTTAGTTTCTCAGGTAATATATGGTATTTCTGTCTGAGTTTAAGAAACGGTCATGCGTCTTTGCTTTTCAGGCTCGGTATATTGATGAGACGGACCGGATTTTATCAAGTGACCAACAGCGTATCTTTTCTGTGAACTCTTATTCTGGTACTTATTTACAATTATCCACCTCAACGTTTTCTCCTAAGGTCAGTTTAATATGAATATATTGTTTATCGATGGATTATACTAGTCATTTCTTTTCACAGAGGTTCATGCTGAAATCACGCAATACTTGCTAACTAATCGTATCCATTAGACATGATATGATAGGTTTACAACAGGTCTGAGTAAATTAACCTTTGTACTATTGCTGAGTTGTTTACATACCTTTTTAATTGATGCTTATGTACGTCATTGGTTCATGTGTGTAGATGTTGTACAAAACTATTGATACTCATGGGCAGTCAGTGGTTGTGGTGGAACGTTATTGGTTGCGAGAGGTAAAGTTATGAAGTTGTACTCGAAAAAATATGCTTCCCTTTCCGACTTTCCCCCGAAAAAACTATCGGTCCACAACCACGTGTTAAAGATTCATAGTCTGAAGTTACCTGATAGTTGAAAGTGCAACTGATCCGCTGTTGTTTACTTTTCTTATGGAGCTGTGAAATTTAGGAATAATACGTAATCTAAATAAGTTCCATTCCCCTCAAAATCTTCGACAGCTTTTCTTCAATCTGCCTCTAACCTCAGTCAGTTACGACAAGACATTCCTTGTAATTAAAGTGGTTAGTGCAGCTGTAGAGAGTGGATAATATGCTAGAATTTGTTTGGATAATGCCTTTTTGTTCCTATGAGAATTTTACTGTAGTTTTATTTTAGACAGTGAACAGTTTTATGGTCTGACTATATTTCCACATTATATTAGTTCAGTGGGAAAATTGTTGGAACATCAATTTAATCACCTGTACCACGCATTATTCTTCATTTTATTTCTGGGAAGCTAATTTAGAAAATTTCATTCGTTTATAAACTCAGGTTCATCCATTTTCAATGTTGGCAGTATCTTTTGGTAAATCAGACTACTGACTACCTTCTACAAGTAAGATAAAAAGATATAAAGAAAAATGTAAAATAATTGAGACTATCTGTAATTTTCCATTGAAAATGAGTGTATTATCGTCATAGTGAGACAGATTAGATTAATCCAATCAATACTTGATCTTGAGCTGAATACAATTTCCTAAAGTCTTTCAGTATCTACCTTCATGGCCCAGAAGAAAACACACAGAATAGATAGAGAGCACTATTTTATATCATAGTTAACACAACTAAAGCATTTAAGGTAACCCTTCAGTGTCCAGCCATTTTATCTAAACCAATCCTACAGGAGGTCAGTCGTAGCCTGAATAGCTCAGTGGTAACGTCACTGACTGCGAACACTGGTTGACATGGGTTCGGATCTCAGAGAGGACATCACTTCCCTCGTTGTTGTCGATACTCCCTGCTGACAAGTGCCAATAAGCACGAAACCCAGATCCAGGGCTTTCTGCCGATTGCCTCTAACCAATTAATATCCACCAAAACGCACTGCGATGGTGACCCTCCTAGCTTGGTGGCCGTATTGTAAAATGACCCGTAAGATTCGATCAGCACTCTGGACTAGACCAGTGTAAACCACTACATTCGGCAGAATCTTTCCAATAACTCTTGGATTTTTCCTGTACATAATGAAGACTAAAGACATCGTAACAGATAATCCTAACCCTTGAATAGGGAGAACGTCATACAACCTTTCTGCATGCTTTCATCATCGAAGAATAATGAATAAGTCTGCCTGTATCATTTTCCACAAACTTTTTTCTCTCTGCCTCATATATTACAGTAGTGTTGAATCTTTGTCTCTCCACCTGATTGATAGCTGGACATTATTGTTTTCGAAGTTTCGATGTCCGGTGACTGTTTCTAAAAAACAGTTTACACCATTATATTGATTTAGCTATCCTGACTACCGCTTATAATACTAATATTGTTGTTCGCATTGTCGACATATCTTTTGCAGTGATGACAGACAAACCATCACTATTTATTTTGTTATCTGTATATACATTAGGTCTTTGAAGACAATGACCAAGAATCTTTAAACCTAGATCTCGTGTTTGTTGACACATAAGCAAGACTTATCTGCAACATCAAAGGAACTGATGCACCCTTAGGTATGCATAGTCGTATCACTCAGTGCTGTTATCAGAGACGTAGCTACTGAGTTCACTGGTTGCAGAAATACCCTAGTGAAGAATGCCAAGAAGGACTAAAAGTCAATCAAAGTGCACTATGATAGTGAGTCTCTCAGCTTAGTGACCACATTGCAAACTTGGTCGACATAAATGATACAGCACTAAAGATACTGGTTACTTTTCATTGACATATATAAAGCCTGTTTTTGAGCTAACCTGAAGTGATATTTTTGCCTTCTAATCCGCACAATGAGAATTCTAATAAGAACTAGAAGCGCAAATGAATTTCGGTGAAGCAAAGGCTAATTTAACCAAAACTGAGTAAAAGTCAACTGCTACTGACCTATATTCGACTCTTAAAAACTAGATTTGTCGTACTACTCGCAAAGCATTCCAGTCCTTGAGGCACCTAGTTTTCCTGAAGAGTTACGTTTTCGCTATAGAGAAAATAATTTTAAAAAATTAAAATAGTAATAGTACTCTTGTACAGTAGTCATCAAATATGGCACACCTTAAACTAAGACAGTCATTTGCATAATGTGCTTCATTTCCTCTTCGGCTTCTATCTTGATTTACTCTTAATACGCCCGCGTTGTCTCATGCATTTCTCTGGACAGAATCTTTACCCATTGGTGGTAATCCCCTATGATTTCTGCCGCCCTCTAAACATATACTACTCATATCCATTCTGATCAGCAGTGCCCAGTACAGCAATAATAATAATAATAATAATAAAACCCGTTGAGATCCATCCAGTAGTATAACACTGATATGCTGCTTTTCGTTAAACAATCCCGATAACTTGAGAAAATAGGAAATGTTCATTTGTTTAGCATAACAATCACCATCAATCTGAAACTTAACCTATCGATCTTTAGTTGATTATGGTTCAAAGATTGGTGCAGTGGTGATTGAATCCATTGCCTTGAAGATTAGGGTGCACTAGAGAGTTTGATTTTTATTGCCTTAATGACCAATGTAATCATTAGTGCACACTCCTGATAACGTATAAGATACCACAGGACACGGATTCAATACTTTGGGAGCCTAATTGGTCGTTCGGTTTGCACTTTTAGCGAAACCCTGATGCACGAAAGAATGGAGCACAGAGGGGAACTAACAGTTGGTTAAGGAATATGTTATTAGAAAAAAGTAGCTACTGAGAGGTTTATACGTTAGTCAGCATCAATATGAAACCTAGGTTCTACTGTGTAACAGTCCACACTACACATCAAAATCGAAAGCACCAAGGTGGAAGATAGAAAAATAATGGAAAAAGTAACCAAAATCGGCAAGAAGTTATGAAGAGAGAACGAGAAGGAGAAAAACCAAAATACTATGACGATTAAAATAATGTGTGTATGTATCAGCACCCCTGAGATTGATTCATAGTCATATCACCTACAGTCTCCAACAGCCGATTTCGGTTGTCACACAGGCCCCAACTGAGAAGTCTATACTGCCCTGTGTAGCCCAAACTAACTGTCAAAGACTTCAAGATCTGATGCCATGTTTTAGTCTGGTCACGTCCAACCTAAACCTAATTGAGCTTACACTGTTCGACAAATTAGATGGTGACTAGGCATGTTCAACACATGTCACAGTGACCTACGTTGACGAAGGTTTACGACTTTACCAAGCTGACCTACTTCTGTTGCCTAAAAGCTCTACGTCTAACTTCTACATGACCAAACTAGTGGTCAGCCTGTGCTACGAAGGCAACAGTGGTCGAAAGGCTGACACCTTTTCCTTTTCTTCACCTTATCTCTTTATTTCACAACTGCAGTAGAACCGAAAAAACTGCTGCGTAATACACTGGATCTCTAACATAGCGACGCAGTGAAGGTGTAATTTGGCAAAGTTCAAGCAAGCTTTTTGTATGTTTATAAATATTGTCGGCCACTGACCCACCAAAGCTGTTTCGACTTGCCAATCGAATGTGGCTATCACCACTCTCAATCACTCCAACTGCTATTGTTAAACGGGGCACCAACGCAAAAGATTCGGGTAGCAACAATTTGCGTTTGTGTAGTGAGAAACTAATCCAAACTACTCTTGACAGTAAATAAGTCACCAACATGAAATGTAAGGTTTCACTTATTGATCTAATGAGAAACCATGTTACATTACAAAATGATTAGGAGACAAATGTAAGACCCATGATATTACGTACCTAAACTCATTTCAAGCCTGCAAACTCAAATGTTTATACCAACGTAAAATTGCAGTGAACTTCTAAACATTAAAACAGCTAGTACTTTCTTTTGGTTGAATAATTATCAAATAATTTGGCTGGTGATAATCAGAACAGACATTTTGAATATTTGTTGACTTCAGCTTAAAATTCAATGTGTAAATCGGATACTGATTCAATCATTTGTAAATATCATTTTATAGTTCAACATATCTCCTAGAGTTTGCAATAATGATGTTAATCATTGGAGTCTTCTTTGAACAAATAAAGAAATAACTTTAGCGCATCGGGTGAAATAATCACCTTGAATTTCATTTGAAACGTTATCTCTTATGCATGTTCTTATTTTGATTGTAAACTATTAAATTGCTGAAATAAATTTGTAACTAAGATGTGTAGTTTTGTTGATAGTTATAATCACATATTTCAGTCTGGCTAGTCAGCTAACGGGATGCAAACCTAAGCTTTAGACCTTACCTATATTGTCTCAAGGTCACTACTATCTAAGGGCAATGCTGAAGTAACAGTGGATATTCAGCTGCAGTTCACTTGCTTAGGTAAGGAAATTTTAGACTCAGAGCTTTTCCCGATCTTGTATTAAAAGCCTTTTATAATAATTCACCGACAGATAAATGGCATGAAGTATATTTTCTTTGTATTTTACAAGGTTAACGAATACGTGGTGATAAATGTGCAAACAAATTACCCAACAGACAAAATACACTATGTGGTGAGTACATTTTTCGCATTACTATGAGAAGTTGAACATTGCTTTTCTGGATGAACATGAAGGCTATCGAATCCAACTCCAATTGAATCTAAGGGCCATCCTAGCAACTGATATTATCATCAGTTACGTTTCTTTATTTTTGGAAAAGCTAACCTCCCAGTATAACCCCAATTGGTTACTACCTCAGTTAGCAGAGCAAATTTTAGAAGAACTTTACAGCTCAACTGAAGTTGACATACCGTACTATTCAATCAAACAAACATAAGCAGAAGGTCTTGTAATACAGCAGTACTAATGGTGTATTTTGAACTGTAGCTTACACAGTAGTTGACTGACTCTAAAGGACATCCTAAGAACAACTGTAATACACAATTAGGTTCCTTTATTTCATGTGGAAACTACCTTTTCAGCCAAAACGGAGAAACCTGATTGGTCAGTTTAACGGTTGCTTAGTTTGCCTTTAGAGCCACGTGGTTATTCCACCTGAACACAAAGCTATAAACCCTCATTTATATATGTAGTTCGAAACCGTCTAATTTTCCTATAAATCGTTTCATCTATAAATGTATCATTTCTATGATTGCATATCGCGTATGATCTTACTTATTACCAACTTGCCAAAACTTGATGAGTTTTACCTTAGTTGCAGACAGAATGCAAAGTGTCTGGTTGGCTATACACCAAACGACTTATCAACTTGAAATCTCTGTAGATACCAGAAGTGATATTCTTCTCAGCAGTCAAACTAAACTTTTAACTACCAAGCTATGCAGGTTGTAGCTGATTGCTTGAATTAGAGATCAGTAGATTATAAAACTTGGCATGCAATCTGTTTGTTTGCACCATATCATAGCTTATTATCTAATGAATGCAGCAGGTGCTTGTTCAGAAGATCCCATATCTTTGAGGTTGAACGGACTGTCTTATCACTAGTGCTTCAGAATACAGAGTTGAACAATTTCATTTTAAAAGAGAGAGGAAACATTCATTTTATTCCGACTGGTGAGCGGAAGAAAAGATGCATTATGTCTTCGAAACAATTGCAGCACCTTGAAGTATCAATGTATTCAAACAAATGACGAATCTGTACCTCGTCATCGATAAATTTTAATACATTTTTAGAAGCATACAATGTCGTTAATCACCGTGTTTGTGATAAATTGTCCTGAAATCTGATAGAGCTTCAATTTTGAACAAAACGTCTGAGAAATAAATAATGCACTCATTTATGCTCCTTTATTATCTGCTAAGTATCATGCTTTTCATTCATAAGGGTTAATTTTGGCATATAGCAATAGCAAATCAAGAGTTTTTTGTTCTTCTAAGATGTTAGAATAATACAATCACAACTAGTGGGAAGCGTAAACGAATCTTTTTAAAAGAATCAGGTTCCTGTTCACTTCTTTTGGACAACTTCAAATATTATACAACGTGGTGTTTTGTCAAACGCATCATTAGACGCTGCACAGTAGGTTTGGTGCATAGCATAGTGTATGAACCTGCAGGTAACTGCTGTTCAATTATCCAAACCGACTACACAGACACTTAGATGTAGAACTATAGAAAGAAAAATATAGTCGTTTATGTGAAACGGAGTATAGCATCCAGTATTTCTCACCGGACAATTCATGTTGTAATCCTTTTCTTTTTCCATTATTACTAATTTTCCTAGGTTGTCTCTAATGGCAACATCTTAGCAACTGATCAGTTACGCATGTCAAGTTCAGTGACATCGCGTACATTTTCAATAGCTGTGTCACGTTCAATGTTCCCAGTTTCGCATATTGTTGCTTATTTCATAAAGGATGATAGTGAAATTGTATCAGATTCACTTACATTTTATACAAATTATACAAATTTGAATGATGTACAAATGCAAGTCAATCGCGGAAAGATTTAAACCAAGATACACTAGAAATCAGAGGTTACGCTAAACCTGGTGCCTATATGGCATTCAGTGTGATGCATGCAGATTTGTACGCTATTGGTGGGGCTTCATTTCTACGTGAATATGATGTAGGTTTAAATTTTGAACAAGTCACCAAGCTTTTTAATATACAATTCCTTTTTGGTGTATGTATGTTCATTGTCCTATAATTCTTACTGTGCATGAAGTGAAATTTTCATTTTGAAAACTTTATCATCACACTTAATCGTGATACACGATGTCATTTGGTAGCTGTTAAGAGAGTTCAGCTTACACGATTTCAATACCTCGAGAAACTGCTGACCTCATATACATCCTTGATCTTGCAAGAAATATAAGCTCCCTTTCACACCGTAGTCTAATAACCATAGTTTCAAACAACAGAGTGATATTTTTCTGACTTGCCGTTTTCAGAAATAATATTGTAAACAATCTTTTTTGGCGTTTGAAGTGATGGGTATCAGGTTCGAGTCTTAGTGGATGCAGTTACATCCAGCTGATGGGCCGCGAATGGAACGAAACGCGTGTCATGAATTCTCCTGCTAGCCATCAAGTAAACCACAATATAATGAACGTCCAGGCAGTAATCGAAGCATCGACATAAGAGCGCATCTGCTAACAGAGGTCAACGAATTTGACTCTGTGTAACTACGGGAAATTACAAGTATCGATAAACAACAATTTTCGAAGTTTATCCTGACCAAGAAACGTTGATTACCACATTATATACATGTCAACCCTCATAACCAACTGCTATAAGACCTGCTTACTAGATGGTGTATTTCATTCTGTTATTTTACAACTAATGGAGTCAAATTATAATGAGTTTAGAAAAGTATGCTTTTAGTTACAGAAAAACCTCATAAAACACAATTTGGCTTCTTATGTCGGAAGACTTTTCATGTTTATCAATATTTAAAGTTGCATAACCTTAGACGGTTGCAAAGTCGTTATGAATTGATTCTAGAGGATTCTTCCAGACTGGAAATTTTGAGTAATTTTCATAAAAGAGCACAAAAATTACTTCTCCAGCTATATGATGTGTATGTACCTGAAATATCTATGTAATGGTGTGAACTCCGTATATTAAAACTTATAGATTCAGCTCACATAGTGAATATTAAACCTTTGATGTTACCCTTCGTCAGTCGCAGAGATTACTTGTAGATAACCATAATATGAATCACTGTTCTGTTTAATGATACCAAAACTTATGTGGTTTTATTCATTTCGAAATGACTTCAATCTTAGTGTGATACTATTAGAAAATAAGAATTATGCAACAGTTATTTTTAGTCGTAGTTCGAAATTTTCCAAGAGTATTAATCTACAACTAGTTTGAAACCTACCGCTGCGTGGATTTTCATTCACATTCAGTCGCAAACCCAATGTATACAAAACTGAAGACCTCAAGTATCATAGTTGATAAATTAGTATAGTGCTATAACTTCTAAAAGATTTTCAGCGCTCGTTTAGTGGACTAGATAGCAAAGAACAACTGTTTAGTACAAGTTTACAACTCTTCGTCACGTCATCCTCTCAACTCTATTTCAAATAATATATATACAGAACCTTCATATCTCGCAGAGATCCTACCCTTCATTCAGCCATTTAGCCAAAATTTAGGAATCCATATTTTCTACTTTAGTTAGATCACAATACATTGAAAATATTATCAGCTGTCATCGATAGGCATTCATACTATGACGTCAAAAGGTTACACTATGATGGGGTTCCAGGTTAGTTTAAAATAACTGTCTAATATCTTTTAGCTTTCAAAAATCTTCTGTTTGACGCCATTTCAAAGTAAAAACTGTTTTTATTCACATTTTTGTATTTTTATTTTCCAACCAATGAAAAACACCCTTTTATGTCTTTTCTGATGAGTTCCAAATAGGATGAAACATCCATCCTGGATTCCGCTCCTAGCTACTATCCATCACATTAAAAAACAAATTTAATTTGTTTCTCATTCATTGGAAAATGCAAATACCAATATACTGAATATCATTTACACAATGCTCAGATTTTATTAATCAGCCCGCTGAAATATACCTGAGTACACAGAACTACATTCAATCGTTGTTACTAATTTCCTTTGTTTCAAAAAGATTGTAGATGAATTAATGACGTATGAACAACATAGTCAAGGCCCATTAGTACATACATGGTATGAAGATTTTAGAGATATCAAACGAATCTATTTGCCAACATCAAGTAAGGGAGCTGATACCAACAGCACAATGAATTCCTCTGGTTTAATCATATTTACTGATGCTAATTTTACGAAAGCAAATTTTTACCGTAAGTTGAGTTAATATAAAAGAGTATATTTTCATTGAATTCTTTGAGAAAGTCTTCGTTGAAAAAATCCTCCACGTATTCAGGGATAATGTTTCGAGTTGAGAAAAAAGCATGAAATGTAAAACGATTTGAATTAGTCGTCTTCACTCTTGACTGAGCTGAGAAAAGAAAGTTCTGACTGCAGGTATCTACATCACCACATTACTTAGTGTTTTACTTGTTGTTAATCATGCTTAGTGATAGTGTTCCCACTGAGAATCGAACCTACAACTCATCGCTTCAAGCACCAGACAGCCATCAACGAGGCTACTGGATCATGGTTAATTTTTTACTTGGTATATGCAGTGAGATGTGACATAATCATTCATGTAGTGATGAGGTTTATGCTGGGAAAATGGCTTCAGTTTTCAATAGAATGACGGGTTTTACTGCAAAGTACGTTCATGCAAAGGCTAATTAAGTCTTCTTCTTAAAATGATTCCTATAGGAGTAAAACTTGGTCACTGTAGTAGATTCCATTTCATTCGACTCCCCATTATACGCTAACTTGCCGTACATGTACTAAGTAGATCGACTGCTGAACTTCAAGATATATGTGCTACTCGATAATGTCTTCTTTTAGAGTTTGATTTCTTCTAGTTTATCTGTTGTGTAGATGCTTTGGGTTCTCTTAAATAAGCATTTTACTAAACCCTGTTTGCACTTCATTGACAAGAAACGCTATTCAGTTGCCTTGCTGGGGGTGATATCTAGATCACCTACTCTGTAACCGCATGTGCTGTTTAAGCTAACTGCTTTCAACACTCGGAAGTTGATGTAAATCCAACAACGAACTGGTTTGGCTAAGATTTTGGAAAACCTCGCTGTAAGTTTATAATATATATTGGAGACCTGTTTGCAAAGTCTTAGAGAAGTGCTCAGAATAATTTTGCTTTCTGTGAGCTCATAAAATGTGTTTACCACGAGCTTATCAACCCTGCAGCATCTGTAGTCTTCTTGTGGGTGTTAGCATCGCACTAACTGCTAGAGCATAAGCTGCATTAGTCTGCTAGTTCCTCATGAGCAGCTGTCTACGTACTGTTAGATCAAAAGTTCCTATTACTAGAGGAGTAACCGGCAAAGAAAACAATATCTCTTCGTTATCTCTTCTCATAATATGACGAGGTGCAAACTCATTACAGGTCAAGACAGATTCTGTGACCTCTGCCGTGTGCTCCTGACAAAAACCGTAGCTAGGCGCTTGAATGCAGAAGTTGGGCCTCCAGGTTCGTAGGAGAATAGCATAAGTCACAGGCTAGATAACAGCGACTATCTTATAGAGCTTTGAGTGAATCATAAGGCACTTCTTACCAGCACCAGCTTCTGAAACAGCCTCTATCCTTGTGCTAACTGCCAACATCTTCCTGTCATTCAAACAGACCATATTGTTAGCTAGCTAGCCGTAGTGTTAGCGTATTCTAGACCGCCGCTCCTTTTGAAGCACTTATTCGAACTCTGATTTTGTTTTGTTGTTTGTTGTGTGATAAGTACATTTCGCATCCTCAAAATTATCCTAAACAGATTGATCTAAGCAAACTCGGTACTTCTAGTGGTGCAAATAACTGCTAGACCAGGCTTTATTCAGATCTACCCGTTGAATCTTCAGACTGAGCAGTAGCTGCATCTACAAGACGCCATAAAAACTGAGTAAAATTGATTTTGGTGACGAATAACACTCCGCTAATAAATAGTGTCTGTGAGCTGTATGCAATATCCTGACACCTATTGGTCTGTTCGGCTAGACAGAAAATGCAATGCGTAAGTTCCTTAATTTTATAGGCCACACAGCATTTACATATGGATTTTGAGCCTTGGTACTTAGGACTCACAATGAAGATGAAAGTGATACCTGCATGCAGGAATATTCAGGAACTGTTCCATTGCATCTTAACCGGCGACACCAAGAAGCCCAAACGGTATGTAAAGTAGACAGTACGCTGATCACCAACGTTCCTAAACCCCCAAAAAGCTGAGCGGAGTACGTGGAAAGAAATTCAACCTGACCACTGTTCAACCCAAATCACACTTATTTTCTTGTGCTCCATGATTTTCAACATCAACCCGCTTATAAAAATGAAACTTTGAAAGTCCAGTAAAGCTTCCGGTCTGAATAACTAATCTCTCATTCTTTTTAGGGAGGAACGTCAGACTGGTCAGAAAACTGATTATGTGTGGCAAAATAAGAGTATTAAATCACTTTGGAATAAAGCCATAGTTTTACTTATATTTAAAAAGGTTTATATGCAATATATGTGACATTCTTTGAGATGGCAATCTCCTACCAGTAGCGTGTAAAATACTGGATGCTAATATTCTTTTCAGGCTATTTAAAACGCATGGAAAATTGATCCATAAGGAGCAAGGTGGGTTTCGTTCAGGTTTTTTACGCAATATTCTTGTGTGCACCATCCTCCAGAGGTCCGAACACGCACCATAAATCATCGATTGTCATGCTTCTTCATGTTAAGTTCGCCTTATATTCATTGAACAGGGCTGTCCTTTGTGATTGTCTACTAATCACTAGTCCCTCTGGCGTTTGTTATCGATTTGAAGGACTTATACGAAAAATATCAGTTAGGGTGAGTGATTATAACTGTCTCTCCTCATTTTTCCCTACCAAAAGAAGGCACCGTTGTTCAGTTCTTCTATCGCCGTTTAACTTTGCTACTAATGATAACTCTGTAACATCTATGAAACAGGTAATTGATGTTAGTACAGACTAGGTAGGAAACCTTTTACTTCGCAATCGCATACAGGCTATAAAAAATCACCTAATCGGTTGACAGTTTCAGTTGCTTGGTATGACGTGTATTTTCACTGTCGAATAACGAAACGATTTTGCAAGATAGACGAAGACTTGTACTTTTATTCATTCTTGGCGGTGAGCAGACATTTGTGTATGTGCTGGTTTAAGTGTGACCGGTAAGATTTCCAGCCTTATACAAAAGTTATTGCTACACTCATCAATCTGGGTCACTTTTGGTGCCCTTTTGATATTACACTTGCTGTAAGAGGTCGGTTGTAAAAAACGTTGTTGCAGTAAGTTCTTCTGTACGTCTGTTAAAAGTAGCCTCTCTGAGCTGAGGATATTCTATGACTTCATTTCCAGTTACAGTGCTCTCCGATGATTTGCTCGCATAAGGTAGAGACATTGTGTATGTACTTCTGGGGTTGATTGGGATGTTTTTTGGTGTGATGAAGACCATCATTTATTGAATGAGGTTATTTTTACTCACCGGCACCGAGGGCTTGGATGTATATTACGAATAATGTACCAGCAGCTTCAGTAACGCTTGCTGCTGGCTCGCCTTGAGATGGTTTCAGAGAAACAGAGAGGCAGTCAGCGTATACATTGGTCCCATGGGTAGAAGGATAGTTGTGGTTAGTCAGCATCCGTTGATGTACCGTGAATTTCGGGATAGATTCTGAAAAATTATGCTGCTCATTAGCTGTGTACAGTGGTAGGTATGGCTTAAAATGCAAACCAGCGGTAATCATACTGCAGCTTTCTTGTTTCCTCTAGTGTTGAAAAGTGAGACGAAAGTACTGAGTACTTCGTCAGATAAATCTCCGAGAATGCTTCTTTAATAACCCACTGACATATTTTCTTCCGTTGTTGCTCTCTTTTCCCCTATGTCGCTCTTATATGTCTAGGCTGATGTAGTAGGACATGTTTCTGACTGTAAACAAATTAATGGCTCCTTATAGCTCTTATTTAACACTCATCCTGTATACTGTAGTTAAGACACTGTTATATCGTCAATGTATTGTTCTCCTTATGAATAGTCAGTGGTCACTTGTGTCACTTTCCTTGTGTCTTTTCTACATTGTAGATACATGTAATGAAACGGAGAACCCTGCAAGAGCTCTACCATGCTATTCTCTGACCGGCAGAGATTGCTATTCACGAAGTGAAAAGTGTGATGGAATCAATCAGTGTGCCACATGGGTTGATGAAATGGACTGTCCGGAAAATGAAACGAAAAACCCTCAACCATTACGTGTAATAGATACATTTGATATACTATTTCGTCAATGGAATGATGGCGCTTGGTTATGGCACAGCACATTTGTGAAGTAAGTATTAAGTGCATCCGGTTAGTAGACATTCTTTGTCACAATCTTTGCTGAAGATTCTTTTGATAGTTTACAAAATTTTGTTGAAAATGTGAGTTATAATGAAGAACAAGTGATGCGATTTTCAATATCTTGCCACTTAAATTGGACATACCCCGAAACGTATGTTGCAGCATGCTATCGTCATAGTATTTACTCGAAAAAATGTTAGAAATGCCTTTTAATTTCATTTATTCGGAAGATAAACTTTTATTCGACTGTTTGTGAATAAAATTAAGTCTTTTTGAGAAAAATTACATTCACTATTGCGTGAACGAACACAAAAGAATGAACTATACAACTCAGGCATCTTCAAACAATTTTAATCTCTTGTTAACGAGGTAGACGGTTAAAACAAAGTAGACGAACCACCCTGTGTTAATATTTCTTCCTCTCTTGATTGAAACCTCTTCGGATAGTATGAATTTACTGCTGCAGTTTTACTCTATAAACCTTAGGCACGTTGTTAATCAATTTTATCACATCCTAAAGTATAGTGAAGCCCACATTCTGATTAAAGAAGCAGTGGAACGAATTTCAGACGACAAATGTTTGAATGACGCCAGTGAACATATTTAGAGAAACCAGTCATAAATTTCTATCTTACTTTGAATAAACAAAATAAGTGTATAGTACAGCAGCACGTTGTACTCAGTTCATTCCGGAGCTATTTTTATCTATAACGACACTAAATCTGTTAACGCGGTATTGGTTGACAGGTGTTATTGATTTGTCAGTGCATGCTCTTCTTCGGGATTGAAGATGCACCGTGTGAAGCATGTCGAAATGTCCAAAGCCTAGTTGTATATGTGTTTACTGACCATTTCCAACCGCCTATTAACACAAATGCAGCCTCTCTACGAGGTCAAAATCAAGTATCTGTGTCCTGTGATGATACAAAATTTCGATAACAAGTTCCTACATATTATATTTCCTAGCAGGATAGGTCATTGTTTCCGTAAAATACGTCAAATTTGATTTCTTCCTAATCATCAGACCTTATTTTTAATTCTATCTACTTATTTCACTGATTCATTCTAGAGCTGATGGGCAAATTCAGTTTCGTGTGGATCTGCCTAAAATGAACGCTGACTGGGTAGCCGGTGCATTCTCTGTTGACAGTGAATTGGGCTTAACTTTGATGCAACAACCTTATTTATTTTCCGGCACACGAAGATTTTACATGACGGTTGAACTACCTGAAGAAGCTGTATGGGGTGAACAGATTGGTGTTCGTGTGTGCTTATTTAACAACTGGAACTATTGGATCGAAGTAGGTCACCCTTACTTGTTGGCATTTTGTGTATGGTTTTGTTTTGTTGGATGGAATGATTACATTCCCTGAATATATGATAATTTGTGTTATATTCACAGCCCACAGTCAAGGATATGTAACTTCACTAGTTCCTCTATATCGGTGGTTATATTATTCCCTTGTTACGACTTAATGTTGTATTCTCACCAGGTAGTAAATAAGATTCCCAATGACCTAACCACAATGATACTTGAGTCAATTTTTATCGAATAGAATACAGTCAATAAAAGTGTTGACGGCTGGAGCAGTGAGCCTAAGCCTTGTGGCTGTTAGCAGTGATCAGTAAGATAAATGTGCAACGTTAGGAGAACTGGAACCTTTATAGGGACTCAAACATGCATCAAGCAGCTCTAAATTCAACGAAGTTCTGAACCAGGATCTAAGGGCAATTCTCATTTCCCGAAGGAAAATACGCTGCGTCGATCGAATAGACCGTATGAACTGATGTTTCTTCATGTGTTATCCTTTTGAAGCAGTTCCCACCTATTCCTAAAACTAAGTCCTTTCAACAGCGCTTTTACTGTATTCATCACTATTGTGGATTCAGCATACGTTATGCTTTTTCCACTTACTGCTAACAATTAACACGTTTTTTGTACACTATTTTTCCTTGCTTCACCAACAGATTGTTTGTCAGTATCCTGGGTTGCATTTTTGTAATTTGCTTCTTTTTTCCTCAAGGCTTTAGTTGAAGTGAAAGCAAATCCTGATATTCGTTTCGTTCAAGTTGGTCCAGAAGGACGTGTGTCCGCCTATGCTCCAGAAGTGTCTATCAATAAGTCTGTTCAATCATTGGCCTATCTAGAGGCTGGTACTTCACGTTACATCTACATGCCGATTTCTCCTAAACTTCCTGGGAATACTTCATTTACAATATGCGCTTATAGTTTTATTGGTTCCAATTGCGAAACGCACACAATACATGTTCGTGTAAGTTAATACTTTCTTCATCTAGATAATTTATGTAATCGGCATTTTTTAAAAGCGGTCAGCCTAGGCTACATTCTTTGCAAGGGTGCTAAAGTTAACCGTTTCGAAAATAACAGGCTGATTAGCATATAGTGTTGCTGGAATATATGATAAAAGTGTATAATATGTGTCAACAGATATTTCAAGAAGCACAATTTTGGAAGAACAAACTTAGCACTTTCATATCACTAGAGCTCTGAAAAAGTTGGCTTAAAAGTTGCTTATAAAGCAAATTACACGTATACACGGACTTCTCAACCCCTCGTTTTTTAAAATAATAATATATTTGCTTTATTTCGAACTATAATTATGTTTAAAGTACAGAATTCTCAATATAGGATATTGTATAAGTTTACCCGAACCTCGCCTGGTTAACTAGTTCACTAGTTACTAGCCGATCCTAAGCCCGGGTAAAGAGGGAAGGTTGGGCATAGGGCTAGCAATCCTACCCCGTAAAACAAATCTAACCGCCAAAGAAACTTCAAAGCATAAACGAAATATAAAAAATAATAACAAAATTATTCCTCGCTGAAATCGGAGAGATGAAATGACGCCAGTTGGTGAAAGCCTTCGGGAAGCCAATTTGCCGATGTATCTCCTCTCTCTCGATGAAAGCGAAAGTAACGTGGAGACATGGAATATCCGCACCATATTTGAACCCAGCAAGGCAGCCCAGATTGCAAACGAGATGAAGAGGTATCACACTGAAGTGCTTGGAATATGCGAAAGCAGATGGAATGGGAGTGGAGAATCAATAATGCACTCCGGTCACCCAGACGACAACCACGAGCACAGCACACTGAGTTTCCGAGTGGCTATCATGATGTCCCCTTGAAGAGCATCGAAGGCTCTCATGCACTGGGAACCAATCTCCTCCAGGATCATGACAGCAAGGTTCAACTCAAAAGGAAGGAAGGTCACAATCATACAATGTTACTTACCTATAAATAATGCAGATGAAGAGAAAAAGGAGGAATTCTACAGACAACTTCAATCAACACTGGACAAGACCTCAGTTGGCGATATCAAAATTCTAATGGGTGTGGCGACATGAATGCCAAACTGGGAGGGGACAACACAGGAAGAGAACTAACCATGGGTAGAGAAGCGCTCGGTGAGGTGATGAACGAGAATGGAGAATTGTTTGCAGAATTCTGTGCATTCAACAATTTGGTGATTGCAGGCACTGAGTTCAAGCACAAGGATATCCACAAAGCGAAATGAATTTCACCAGACACCAGGACACACTAAAAGTCAGTACGACTTCATCTCAATCTCAAGAAAGTGGAGACGCAGCCTACTGGACATAAGATCAAGAAGCGGAGCAGATATAGGTTCGCACCACTCACTGTCTAGTGCAAGGAACCTACCTTCAAAATCAAGTTGAAAGCCTTCAAGGAAGTTGGTGATAGACCAAAGTTCAAGTACAACACTCCGAAACTTAAGGATGAAACTACAAAGGGAACCTTCACGGCAGCCAGCAAGACAAAATGGGAGATATCAAGGAACATCCCTGAAGAAACTTGTGTGGAAGAACACTGCAAGTCCTTGAAAGAGATGTGGAAAGAAACTTGCACAACAGTATTAGGAAGGAAGAAGAAGACAAAGAATGGATCTCGACGGACACATGGAAGCTGATAGATGAGGGAGGGGAGGATGGTGAAGCAGAAGATAAACCAGTACAAGGATGCTCAACGACAAGAGGAACTGAGTACAACCTATAAAACACTGGACAAAGAAGTGAAGAAGAGTGCACGGAAAGACAGAAGACACTACTACGACACACTTGCAAGTGAAGCAGAACAGGCTGCAGGTAAGAGAGACAGCGACCTGACAACATATCAAACAACCAGGTTACTATCTGGGAAGAGATCAACTCAGATGAAACCAATAAAAGTTGATGATGGAAATTTAATTACGAAAGAAGAGAAACAAAGGAAACAATGAACAAACCACTTCAAGAAGCTCTTGAGTCGACCACCACCTGCACTTCGTCCAGAAATACCACCTGCAGCCCAGCCGCTGAACTACAAGTGAACACAAATCCTCCAACAAAAGTAGAAGTCCTGAACGCCATAAAACTGCTGAAATGTGGGAAAGCAGCAGGACCAGATGGAAGCCCGCCAGAAACACTGAGAATAGACGCAGGGACAACACCGGACATGCTCACAACACACCACTATTGCAGAAGCTATGGAAGGAAGGAAGGAAAGGTATCTGCCAACTGATTGGAAGAAGGGTTACCTTGTCAAACTCCTGAAGAAGGGAGACCCTCAGTCTTTGAAAGAACTGGCGAGGAATCATGCTCCTGTCCACCCAAAGCAAGCAAAATATTAAGCCGCATCATCCCGGAGAGACTAAAGGATGCACTGGATTCAAAACTACGACCGGAACAGGCTGGCTGGATTCAGGAAGTACAAATCATGTGCTCAACAAATTGCGACGCTACGCTACACATCACTATAGAACAGAGCATAGAATATCAGTCAACTCAACTCTACCTCAACTTCATCGATTTTGAAAAGGCCTTTGACAGCGTCAACCGAGAAGTGATTTGGCAGCTGCTTCAACACTACGGAATACTACCACAAACCTTTATCAACCTCATTCAACAACTATATTAAGACGCATGCCACATGCCAGCCAAGTAATTCACAATGGGAAGCTCAGTGATGCTTTTGAAGTGAAGACAGGAGTGAAACAAGGTTGCCGCCTACTATCACCCATGACCTTTCGGATTGTGGTCGACTGGATCATGCAGCAGACAACAGTGGGGAGCGAGAAGATGGTCATAGGCTGGCTGGACCGTGTAAAAGATCCTAGAAGATTTGGATTTCGCTGATGACTTGTGCCTGATGTCACACAAACTTGAAGATCTATAGGCAAAACAAACCAGTTGAGAGAAGAGGCCAGGCAACGAAGACGGGACTTCAAGTGAATGTAGAGAAGACAGAGGTGATGAAGATACCCAGCCAACACCACCACCACCACCAACAACAACAACAACAAACTTCAATCACCATGAATGGGAGAAACTTAAAGGAGGTAGCCTCTTTCACCTATCTAGGCAGCATCGTTTCTACTACAGGCGGCACAGGCAAAAGGACGAGGACGTCAAAGTCAGGATCGGAGAAGCAAGATAGACTTTCATTAGCCTGAAACCAGTGTGGAGATCTTCTGCACTCAGCATGTAGAACAAGACCCGAATTTTCAACACTGACTTCAGTCAAGTCAGTGCTTCTATATGGTTGGGAGACTTGGTGCGTTACGAAAGGGATTTCCAATACACTAGAGATATTCATCAACAACTGCTTACGCTGGCTCGCTACTGAAGCTCAGATGGCCAGAAAGAATAAGTAACAAGGAACGCTGGTTAGCTGGCTGGCAACGAACCAACCAAGAAGCTATCACCCAACAAATATGCAGAAGTAAGTGGAGATGGATTGGGCATGCACTGAGAAGGCTGGCTGGGGACATCACGCGCCAGGTCAGGCCGTCGAGTGGAATCCTCATGGGAAGCGACGAGTTGGACGTCCGAGGGTGACATGGAGGAGATCGTGCGAGGAGGAAATGAGAGCTTCTGGACAGTGGTGGAGCCAGGTTGAAAAGATTGCAGAGAAGAGAGTGAAGTGAAGTAGAGACGTGCTACTGAAGCCCTATTTTCCATTAGGAACCCAAGGGACTAATAATAATAATAAGTTTATACGTAGCACAACATTTTTCAAATATACATTAACAACGGTGCTGTTCAAAAATATATATTAAAGAATAAGACGAGTGTTGAAATGTCTAATGACTTCAGGGACATGATAACTGTTCTCTATTTCAAAGTTTGTTAATAAGACTGCCTCTAACGTGATTTTCTTCACGCAATACACAAGCTTAATAAGGTATAGTTGAATTTTTGCATGTAGTTGTATGTGCATAGAGTCTATTATGTTTGCTTCTTGTCTTCCCAGAGGACAGATATGGAGAGAGGTGCAGATGCAAAGGATGCTTCTCATCAGACAAACTATTTTTAGCCATCTGTTTATAAAAGTTCAAATGCCTATCCACGACCTCATTTATCAGCATGGTAAGTGGTGTACCACTTACTCTACTAACAGCCTTCAAAATCCTGCACAATACAGCGTTATCTTTTTTCCGGAGTCAAGGGAAGAATAGAAGATAACAATAAATAAGTATAGGCAAAACACAAGAAACGTAAGAGTAGAGGCTCAGTTTTGCCAATCTGAGTTTTATTGTATAAAAAGCCAAGCGAAAGATTCTCCTGGAAATCATTAAGATATAAGGAGACCAAGTAAGATCAGGAGAATAGTATAAGCCAAGATGAATCGCGCTTGATATTTTCTCTATAATAGAGTCATCTATAAGACAAGAGTCATGAGACCGAAGCAATTTTCATCGGCCTTGTTCACGTCTTAAGGTTAAGAAAACCATCTGACATTTGGAGGGATTGAGTGTGAAGCCCTTTCAAAGAAGACCAGTGACCAGTTTCGGTTGAGAAGTTATTAAACTGAGAACAATCTGAAGAGAGAGATGATCGACATGGACACTATTAGGTCATCTGCACACTTAACAAAGTTAGCTTTAGTTGAGGTTGGTAAGTCATGCAAAAAAAAGAAAAGAAAGGCAGAAAGAACAGCACCTTGAGGCACACCGGCTTCTCGAAGCGGTAAAGTGGAGTGCTTCCCTCCGTATTGTATTGTCTCCTTTGAGAAAAATAAGAACCAAGCGAGTTTGTAATCTTCGACTCAATGTGAGTTCCAGCAAGCTCGCCTAATAAAAGGGCCTAGGAACAGAATCAAAGACAGAAGTATAATCTAAGAAGGCAGATCTAACATATGTATAACCTTTGTGCAGACTGACAATGCTACTATTGTGAAAAAACAAGTTCAACATTTAAAGTTCTCTTTCTGGGTTTGTAGGACATTGACCTGGACCTCTGAAACCCTCCAAAGGAGATTTAAGCAGATGAATCAAGTTTTTTCACTGTCAGTCACCTACATACAAAATACGTTTGCCAATTATATGGTGTGTCCGGGCAGTATTGCCAAAATATTTATTACGGACCAAATAGTGATGAGTATATTGTTTGAATCTCATATCTAGTACTAGGAAGCCAGTGATTTTCAGGTTGTCCAAGTAAAGATTGATATAAGCTCATATTATTCAGTAATCTACCTATTCGATCGGTTAACTAGTGTTCATGTCACATTACATACAACTCCGCTTCCGTGATCAGGGTGAATGTCAAGAGACTGATTAGTGTAGTGATATAAATATTATCATTTCTTAGCACCTAATGAAGTATCAGTGACAAAGGGAATCCCTCTCACAGTTTTTCACCATTCATTATGCATCATGTATATTGAAATTTCTCCGAACTATCCAACATTTATTTTAATTTCAGATGAATGGTGTAACAAATTACTTTCATACTGCAAGTTTCCTAGATCTAACGAGTTCCAGTACATTGTTCGTGAATAATTTCAAGATTATTGTTCCACAAAAATTCACGATACCAGAAAGACGCCTACACCGTTTCGTACCTGGATCACAAAAAGCTATTCTCAGCGTAGTTGGTAAGTGTATAGTGCCTGCAATGAAAGGGATATTGTCTGATAAAAGTGCAAACATGAATTTGATGTATGCTTCCTAATTCCTTAACTCATAATGAGCGGCATTTACCGCATTACCTCTTGAGAGTCCAGGAATTTACCAGTTCACAGATTATAAGTTTCGAATTACCACTAAACTGTTAACTAGTCCATAACCATGCTCCACATTCCACTCTTTGCCACATAGAGAGAATGAAGATATTTGGAGACAGTGTTTAGCAGACTACTTTCATGCATGTCGATCAAAAATCACTATTCCTTACGCCTAAATTTGTGCAGATAATCAGAGTTGGTTGAAGGCTAAGCTGGTGGATATTGCCCATCAGTTCCATAGTTCAGGCCCAAGACAGCGAAGTATCCTAACTTCACAACATTTCAAAGCCCTAAAAAGACTTCGAAATAGATCTGATATTATCATTCTCAAACCCGATAAAGGGTCGGGTATGGTTGTGATGGACAGATGTGATCACAAAAACAAGATAATGTCCATCCTTAGCGATGAAAGTAAATTTATGGCTGATGTTCCATCAGACGACCTTAGAAAATTAGAATGCAAAGTAACATCTAGTCTGGTAAAACTCCTGAATATCAATGTTATCAACAAGGAAGAATTTGCTTCCCTCAAACCAATGGGGTCTGAGCTACCTAATCTGTATGGATTGCCTAAAATTCATAAAACAGATAGTCCTTTACGTCCTATACTCTCCATGTTCTGTTCACCTACACATGAAGTGGCGAAATGGTTAGCAAAACTCTAATTCCTATTCGAAATGATTTATGTAAGTTTTCTTTAAAAGATACTTTTGAACTTGTTGATTATGTCAGTGATGTTAATATCAAAGATAAGAGATTGTATTCATTTGATGTCAACTCCTTATTTACTAATGTACCCCTAATTAAAATCATTGACATTCTTTGTGATCATATAACTTCCAGTAATCCTTCTTTCCCTATCCCCTCAACGTGTTTGAGAGAGCTGTTATTATTGTGTACTGATAAAGTTCATTTCACATTTGAAGGTGAACATTTTCGACAAATAGATGGGGTGGCTATGGGAAGTCCCTTAGGACCATTGCTAGCTGATATTTACACGTCACACATTGAGGGCTTGACCGGCGATCTCATCAATAAAGTTACTCTCTATTAAAGATATGTTGATGATATAATCGTGATATGTGATAAGCATGAAGATGCGACATGTTTGTTAGAAAGACTTAACAACGTACAAAACAACATAAGCCTGACACGTGAAGAAGAAAAAGAAAACCGTCTGCCATTCTTGGATATACTCTTAAGTCGTAGAAATGATGGTTCAATAAAACGGTCGATCTACAGGAAACCTACTTGGACAGGTCAGTATTTAAGTTTCCATAGCTTTTGTCCAACCCAATACAAGCGAGGTTTGGTAACTTGTCTATTTAAAAGGATGCAGCGTATTTGTACAGAGGACTCAATGGATGATGATATCAAAATACTAACGGAAATATTAGTGGAAAATGGATATCCATTGAAGTTCATAAACCGCTGCAAAAATCAGCGAGGATTCACACCTGATCTGTACTCTGTTTCGAAGAAATGCGATTACATCGCGTTACCATACAGAGGAGAATCTAATAGCATAATATTAAAACGAAGGTTAAGGTCTGCTGTTAGCAGGACGTACTATGCAGCTAAGCTTATCATAGTTGAGAAGACCAAACGCCTGCTGCTACCTAGACCTCAACGCTGTATAAACGATTGTGTCACATCCCACTGCGTTTATAAATTTACATGTATGTGTGTGGGCAAACATGCATAGGGAGGACTAATCGTGATATGCACTTGAGGGTAGGGGAACATGTTCCAAAATGGCTACGAAAGCAGCTGGATTCACAAACATTGATAAGTGCAGATGGCAGACAACCATCATCATCCATTGCGAAACATATCATTGATAAGAGTCACAGAATTGATATCAAAACAGCCTTTACAATTTTGTACAGAAACTGTCAGGGGCGTATACTTAAGTTTGTTGAGGCGCTAGCCATAAATAAATTTAACCCCCCATTGTGTGTGCAAAAACAGTTTGTCCTTACATTAAGCCTACCTTGGTAATGCTTATTTTATCGTATTACCAAGATTGTCTTCAAGTCTTATCTTTTATTCCTCTCATTATCTTTCTTATTATTGAATTCCTTTATGTCATATGTATCCTTCCCCCACTTCCAGTTTTCATATATAATGCCTTAACAAGTAAATGTGTGATCAGATTGTTCGAAATGTATAGCGCTAATACATCACATTTTTCAGATAGTCTACGTCTTCTAATTACATTATCCAAAGTTTATTTGTTCATTTTTCACCTTGTTAACACTCACCTTGATGAAAAGTTTGGTATCTACTTATTATTGAATCCGAAGTAAGGTTGTATCATGCAACACTAATCGATATTCCTTTTTGACTGTTGGAGTGGAATCACCGTCTGACATAAAACGAACAAAAATCATCGTATAGTCGTATCACTTAATTTACGGAACTCCTAACATGCCTAAGCTACTGCTAAAAGCGGATGCAAGAAACTCACTGTCATATTGAAGAGTGTGTTTTTTGGGTTGGTATTCATCATGGACTGACATCAGTTGAAGAACCATTGAAAATCCGGGAGCCCTGGATAGCTGTTTCATCTTAGTACGGGACTCCTCAGAAGTCCACACCCAGGGCCTTCAGGCTCCGCGGCCAGCACGTTGCCATTGGGTCAGAACCAAATGACTAATATTTCCTACTTCTGTCAGTTCATGATATAGCGTGACATCCATGTGATTCTGTCGTTGAGTAACTGTCATCTTGTCCTGATGTCAGTCCATGATGAATACCAACCTGAAATCATAAATCAATCGCTACAAACCTCAAAATTGAAAATATTTTTTTCCTGTCAAGTGAAACATCCCATGGTATGGACTTTCGTTTCACTTCCTTCTAATAATGTAGTCGATTCAGTTTGTCATGTAGATTATCCGAGTGGTCAGCTGATGTGAATTATAACAATTATTTCGGTTTGCGGAGTGTAAAAGTATTAGAGTTTAAAATGCATACTTCTTCCTGTTTAAAACTCATCCAGTACATATAACTGCATCATAGTAAATTGATATTTTGTTAACGAGGTCCAAATTAACATTTATATTTGTCTCTTAGGTTGGTCAGTTGTGCTGATTACCTCTTCTGGAAGAAGGAGAGGGGAATGCTTGAAGTTTAATAAGTTTTCTGAGCCGAATTATCAGATTTCTATCAATCTATATGCTTCTTGTATAGATGCTCCAATATAGACTTATTATGTGAAGAATATCGGCTTTGGCTTTTCAATAACAGCTTTACTGACTTATATGTGGTTGCAAAAACTTTCTTCTTTCCTCTCCTTATATCTATCTAATATATAAATAACCTCATTTCTATACCAACAAATATATCATTGTAGGCAAATTGTATGGTATGGCATAAGAAATAATGTATTCAGTATAGCAGGACTAGTTAGAAGTGGAAAACACAAATCTTGTGGATCGATAACAAACAATTATAATCATAACAACAGTTACGATGATGCACTGTTTAGGTAGACGGGTAGAAAGCGACCTTTAGGGAAAATAGGTAGTCGATTCACTTTTTCTTTTCAACATACTTTCTACTAACCTTTTCGTATAGCAAACCACTGTACAAGTAGTTATCTGTCTTAACTGATGCGTACGTTATTCTTATTTCGCTTCAATTGAAGTTATTTGTGGTAAGAGTGAAGAGAAAAATGATTACGTAATCAGGCTTACCAGAGACTAAGGAAATACAAATCTTTTTTTGTTGGTTAGTGACTGATAAATCACTCAGATGGATAATAATTCGAGGTAGACATTCTCTCTTTCAAATGAGATATTACAACTTGTAGGTTTAGTGAATGATAAGGAAAATATAGATTACTGTTATCAAAATTAGATGATGCTAACACTGATCATATTTAAAAACTGTCGGAATTTCAAGCCAATATCTACATGACAATTTTGTCGTTGAAAGATTTTAAAGTCTTAATGTTGGTTATATAGCATAAGGGCTGTGCATTGCTAATGTTTACAAAATATGAATGGAACAACTAAACAATTTGTCCAGAGTTATCCAGTAAGCGTTATTTCATGCCAGGAAGTATCAGCTAACTTGAAAGCTGTTTGTTTCATTCATTAATAATCAATGTAGCAATCTGTAATTGTTGCACTTGAAACTAAGACTGTGCACTCACTAGATTTGATAACGTATTCTGGACAGTAGTTTGAACAATTACTCCTGAGGAGCTCAATAAGTCTGTCGCACTCCTACACCCATCCTTCACCACATTCAGGGACTAATCTTAGAATAATTGAACAACTTTTTCCGCAGATAAATTACAAAATCAATTGTACAGTAGACTAAACGCACTTAGCTTTATATTAACACCATTTACTGCTAGACAGAACTTACTCAAAGATCTTCATTTATCATGATTATTACTCTTCTTATTTTTAACTCAACTCTTGATTAGTATTTGTATTCCATAACCTTCAATTTAATCACTTATCACATTTGACTGGTATTCCCTGACCTTGGAAATTTTCTCGTGGACTTTTGGTCATCAAGTTTGAAGTACAAACGTCATAAAAAAGTGAAGAATATTCAAGTGTTACACGAATGCTTGGGTAGAACTTTTCCTGACCTTCAGTGGAGTCAAGTCATAAACTGGAGACGAGATTTCCTTCGAACCTTTATCTGTATGACCTTGCATTTCATTTGGTCACATTGTAAGAGAATCTTTGCTAGCTGGAGATTGTACGACTTGCTAATGTCACACTGCACCTAATTGGTTGACGGATGACTGTTTTCTTTCTAGATCAAACCATCCTATTTACGGTTACTAATCTTATTCTTGATGACTACGTATTTATAGTGAGACAGTTTGACGACTAATGAAAAATCTGAGCAGCAACAGAACTCGAACCCTGCAACCTACGAGCGACTAGTCGGTCGCTTATTACCATGCACCGATGGATTACTTATTCACATAATTAATCAGGTAAAACTTGTAGCGACTAAGGTGAAGTTGAGACCTGTTTGCACTACGATCAAGTGCAAACTGCTATTTCATTATGCGTTTGTTCGTCTAGTTAAGTCAAAAAAGCACTGAGGTCACTAGTTAGCTTCTTGCTGTGGTTTAGTTTTTTTTCCATTTTCATTTGTTAACGTTGTCTTTCTAGAAAGAAATTACTTAACCAACGTTATCTCAGATAGATTAATCAACTGAAAAGCATTTCTTCAGTTTTACAAGCCTTCTGTGAATACTTTTACTAAACAGGTAGTAGGTAGTTTATCTTATTTTTACAATTCAGTGCATTTGTACAATAATAATGATAATGATTAATAATAATAATGCATACAACTGTATAGCTTTCAAGTGAACTTGTTGAGAAACTCATTACTTGATTTATCTGCTATATGATTTGTAAGCCATCGTTGTATACAAAAGATTTCTATGAAAGTATTTGCTTTTGTTAAAGCTCGAAGACTATGCATGCACTGTTAGGAGAGATTGAGGGCGTAAATCACTGAAATCTAAATATAACTACTCTTGTTCAGAGGAAACCGATAGGAAGCTCTGGACCCAGGATTGACAGCCATCAGAATAACACACCAGAGGATACTGATGTCTCTTCAGAGGTTTGAATCTGCGTCACCCAGTACTGCAGCCAAAGATGTTACCACTGATGTATGTTGGCACATCAACCAAAATACAACACAATGGTGAATCTCCTGGCTCAGTGACCACATAGCAAAATGAATGATCAATAGAATTCGGTCAACACTTCGGTCTAGACATTATGATGTTGGAGACTGTCCAGTAACCAATCATATTTAGGACACTACTGGACAACGTGAACAGTTGTAAACCATTCACATTGGTCTACAGATTTTGCTGACTAGGTCAGAGTGATCTAAACACTGAATGGTTTAGCTCGTCAGCTGTACACCTGAACTCTTACGGATCGAAGTTGTTCAGATTACCTAATATGATTAACTGACGTTTATGTCCTATATTATACTTTGAGGATGTTAGACAACAGAAACCTTTATGAAACTACATTTAGGCAGTTAAAAAACTGTTCAGCTGCCAAGACTGCACAGCCTGTGAAGAAATTTCAGGTTAATCCTTCAGTCATCTCAATTTGTTGAAATTAATCATTAGGAGGATAATTTTTCGTCACTAACTTTGATTTTTTAGAATAGTTTTCGTCAGCCATCTCTACCTTACGTGTCTTGGTTGATATTATCACATAACATGATACGTTAACTTTTAAACCGTGTAAAGTACTTGTTATTCCTCTCTTCTAAGAACTGCATAATCATCTTATTTTCTTTTCACCCTAGCCTTCTTTACAAGTTCAATGATAGGTAAACTTTCAGTGAATACACACTTGTAGCTCAGCTTTTAAACACTTATCTACTATGCTAAACTTCTTAAACAGGGCGACACCACCTATAATTATTTGTTTCATACAAACCTGTCCTGCATTTGTATGTTAAATAACTGGCATTATTTAAAATTTTAAGTACTCGAACCCGGGGGATTTTAAAGGCTAACTTAGCAACAAATGAAATAACCGATTGGACTCCTGTATTTTATGAAACATGCCTCTCCAGCCAAAATGGAGAAACCTTATTGGCTATTTCGGTCGTTGCTAGGGTGGCCTTCAAAGTCGCCCCAAAAGCCTTATCAATAACTGGAGTAACCAAGTCGACTTTTCTGTTCCATGAAAACATGTTTTTTCAACCGAAATAAAGAAACATAACTGATTAAGTCATTGCTAAGGTGATCTTTAAAGTGAATCCCAAAACCCAGCTCTGAAGCCACACAACGCCAACCTATGACCTGCATTGGGATTTTTAAATTTCTAATTGATTGTAGCCGTTTAAACTGTTGCGAGGATAACATGTTGAACTAAAACTCCTACCCTCTGATAACCTTGATCGTGTGGAAAAGATGCTTTTTGAAGGACACTTTTCGGTTGTGAGCTGTTTGCACTATGATCAAGTGCAAACTGCTATTTCATTATGCGTTTGTTCTTATACTTTTATATTTTCAAGTTGAAAATTACGCTTTTCTCTCATTTATCTGAACAGTTTCTTCGTCTCACTGACCAAAAATAAGTCTCATAGTAATTGTCACTTTATATGGAGTGACTTCAAAGGTCACTCTACCAACAACTGAAATAACCAACCAGATTTCTCTATTTTATGATGTTCTGTCTCTCCGGACGAATTAAGAAATCTAATTAGTCGTTCCAATCGTTGCTTAAATGACCTTTAAAGTCACCCCTCCATATGAAACTTGTCACCAGCATGTCTATTAGGTGGGGCATAAACATATCTTACGTTATTACACACATACGTGACCAACAAATTTGTAGGCTACATGATAAATAACACAAGTAAAAAGTTAGACGCTAGATGATGGAAGTGTATGTTTTATGCATTTTTAACCCACCAAAGGAAGGAACCCATTCTCTTGTGATGTGTCAATATTAGGTTACTTTTTACTTTTGTTTCAACACAAACCCTTGGGGTTACTAGGTTACGAAAGTTGGTAAAGTGTGCGTATGAGGATTTGTGTAGAAAGCTTTCGGTGATATATATAATTTCATTCATGGTTTGCACAAATTTATGGATTTGGATCCCTTGTGGATTTTGGCTGCTAATCTCTCTAGTTCTCGCAGGTTTTCAATGCTTCTCCAAATAGTATCAACCCTTGGTGATAGCTAACTCTAAGCGCAATTACCTTACCTCAAAAAAACTCTATCTTGAACACAGAGTTAACAAGAGATTAGAATAAGAATATGGGGCATTAATGGTTGACTAGCATTCCACTGACCTGTGAGATCCTATCATTTTTTCAATGTTCTTGTAGCAATCAATAAAAACTTAAGAATGTGTGAACGACTACCTCACTTCATCTTCGAATTTGTGATACACATCCATGATGCCCCAAAGTTACGGGACCTAAGAATATGTAAGTCGTTGGTTATTAAGTTAATCCCGATGAGCTGCTAGCTCAACGTATACTGCGACAGTGGTGTATAAGATCTAACAGTGAAAACATTGAATGTGGTTTAAAACCTATTCGATAATTTTTGGTTCCTCATTCAGGTTAAGAACCTGTGAATAAGATAAATGCAAACTTTGAGAAGTAGATCTTTTAAGGGTTATTTCAACAATGTCACTAGGCTTTACAGTCTTCCATGGCAACTGGCAATGACTCGCTGGTTGTAAATCACTAACCGCTATAGTAGAGACTACGTATTTTCATAGTTTGACTTGTACTACTGCGAACTCTAAGTAGTTTCATCTAACAATTTACTCACCTTTTAAACCAATTAGCGTCAACTGGTTACTCAGTTTTCTGTTGAGTTTTTATATCTTGAAAGTTGATTAATTCAATAAACTAGGATGAACGCATGTCTTTAATTCCATTGCTAGTCGATTTCAAATGATAAATACCAACAGCTAACTGAAGACACAATAAAGCTTTGTGTACAAAGAATAACCGGATCAAAATTGGCTGCCACGTTCGGATCGGCAATTAGCATCGGGAAATTCCAAGTAACAATAACTCTTCTATGCCTTTGTTTCTAGTTTGGCGGAGAAAAAACAGCATTTACCATGAATATCGAGATAACTATAACGTAATCTCTCCACTTATTAGTATGATAGGATTCTGATTACATTGTTCATTAAAAGTTTCATAATCAGACTACATTCGTTTGAATTGGGATACAATGGTAAATAGATATAGTTTTCAAGAGAAAAAGTAATGTTAGTTGGATGGACACAACTGGCAGGAAGCCCTGGACCTAGGTTTCTTGCTTTTGAGCACTCCTCAGCTAGCGTATCTGCAACCTTGATGAGACTGGTGTTCATCTTGAGATTTGAACCGGCATCACCTAGTGTTGCAGCCAGAGACGTTTCCACTGAGTTTTTGGGTCGTGGTTGACCTACTGTAGGAATATGTTAGATACATTTATTGGTTACTGGAGTCTAAGAAAAAATTTCAAGCACACAATATCTTTGGTGATACATGAGTTTTAATATTTCATCTCGACTGTTTCTTTTTCAGGCTGGATGACTCGATCTGTGTATCCTTACCCTTATAAGGAACCTGCTTCCATACCATAATGCAATCCATATTTATCTGACATAATTCATTAGATTAAGTAAGACTCAGAATGAGCAAGATAGCTTTTAAATCTTCAGTTCATTTTCATTGCACCCCATTGTATTTTCCATTGATCACAATACCCAGGTGTCTTTAGTTTTAAACCGGCCAAAAAACTTACATATTGGTTTGCACCCAGGGATAAGATTACTTGCGAATAATTGATAATATTTAAACGCAAAGTTTTCTCAGTAATATTCATTGGGTGAACGAATGAGCGGAGTTTATTTCAATCAAACGAATAAGTTGGTCAGAACAATGCTGAAAATGGCTTTCATCAGCCAATTTTTTATTGTTTGATTTTTCCAGGTGATTTTATCGGTCCAGCGTTGAGTGAAAAATTTCGTTATGCAGATACCCGAAATATTCTACGTTAACTTATGCATCAGCTGAGAATGTCTTTTTTGAATTGGGATATAATATGAATTTATTGCTTTATCTACATGGGGCTGGACATTTACCCTACAAGTACTGGAAAGTGGATTAATCTATTGCTCCGTTGTATTGCAACGTGGATTCTCTTATTTTAATCGTCAAGTTGGTGCGTTCGCTAATTTCAGAGATCGTTTAGATGAGTAAGCGAATAAATTGATAGTACTGTCTATTTTTGTTACGCAACATATATTGTTTTATTCATTAGATGATTAACTTGTATAGATACAGACTAGTTCACCTCTTAAAATATTTGAAAAGTTATGGGGATTCACTGGTCGTTTATGCAACCCTCAGTGGTGTGCTACTTTGACTTCTTGTATGATTCATCTAACTACCTTCAAATCTTCAGGTGCATGTTACTACCGAATTTTTCTGCAAGAGGGGGTTAAGTCATTAGCACATTCCAGCTCTATCACATGCGTATACTTTTTTATTACTGTTCGCTCATACTCTGCGATATTCCAACCCTACAGGTGAAATTTCTCTAAGTTTAATTGAGTGAAAACCAGGTGCTGTGATTCTTCAGTTCAAGGACAGTGTAACCTGGGGGTAGGTATCAGACGAAATCCGAATATTTTTAATTAATCTCTGTAAAAATATGACAGCATCAAATTCACGGTGTCACAGACTCGTATAAGCAGCTTTCCCACGTCACATGATTTATAGACATTTTCTGATAAGTGAAGGAGAATTCAGTGAAGTAGTTGATCTTTATCACCTTCTATGTTGTTACACATATACAACTTATATTCATTTTTATACGCAGCTCATATCACACAAAAATTATTTGTGCATTTGGTAACATTACTCACCTACTGTCAACACTCAGTTCATTTCCTTAGTGCATCATCTCTAGTTAGATCGAAATACTACAACCACTAAGCGCTGTTAAAAGTTCCGTGTGACAAACAAAAGGATTTTCTATGAAATTTTAGTACTTTTAAGGTGGTGCACGTATTTCATTACAAAATACATGTAAAATAGAGATTCATACTCCGGGAAGATGATAATACTGGTTCAGCGCTCTTTTGAGCTCTGATGTTATGTCGAAGACACTACATCATCAGGTTTGGTGGTATCATGAGCATGGATATGGCACAATGACTTGCGTATGAAATAATCCTTAACGTTGACGATGAGGATATTCGAGATTCGCTGAAGTAATGTTTCCGTTACTAGTTTAGTGTTCATCTAGCTGAATTATCACAAACTATCCGTCAACCGAAACTCGCCTGGTTAACTAGTTCACTATTTACTAGTGGTCCTAAGCCCAATAAACAGGGAAGGTTGGGCATAGGGCTAGCAACCCTACCCCGGAAAACCAATCCAACCGCTAAACAAACTTCAAAGCACAGACAAAATATAAAACATAAAAACAAACTTATTCCTTGCTGAAATCGGAGAGACGAAATGACGTCGGTTGTTGAAAGCCTTCGAGAAACCAATTGGCCAATGTTTTTTTTCCCTCTGTCAATGAAAGCGAAAGTAAGAATGGAGACATAGAATGTTCTAACCTAGCAAGGCTGCCAGATTGCAAAGGAGATGAGAAGGTATAGTATTGAAGTGCTAGGAATCTGTGAAAGCAGATGGAATGGGAGTGGACTCTCCAAACTGTTAACTGGAGAGTCAATAATCTACACAAGGATATTCACAGAGCGACATGAATTTCACCAGACACCAGGACACACTACACTGAAAATCAGATCGACTTCATCTCAATCTCAAGAAAGTGGAGATGCAGTCAGCCTACTGGATACAAGATGAAGAATGGGAGCAGATGTAGGTTCACACCACTCACTGTCTGGTGCAAGGAACCTACCTTCAAAATCAAGTTGAAAGCCTTCAAGGAAGTTGGTGATAGACCAAAGTTCAAGTCCAACACGCAGAACAGAAACTGAACTGAAGGACGGAACTACTGAGAAAATCTTCACGTCAGCCATCAAGACAAAATGGAGATATCGAGCAACATCCCTGAAGAAACTTGTGTGGATGAACAACGCAAGTCTTTGGAAGCTATTTGGAAGGAAACCTGCATAACCGTACTAGGAAGGAAGGAGAAAGAAGATAAGGAATGGATCTCGACGGGCACATGGAAGCTGATAGATGAGGGAGAGGAGGATGGTGAAGCAGAAGATGAACCAGTGCAAGGACGGACGACGAGAAGAGTAACTGGGTAAAACGTATGAAACACTGGACAAAGAAGTGAAGAAGAGTGCACGGAAAGACAGAAGACACTTCTGTGACACACTCGCAAGTGAAGCAGAACAGACTGCAGGTAAGAGAGACAGCGACCTGACAACATTGTATCAAATAACCAGGTTGCTATTAGGGAGGAAAGAGATCAACAAAGATAATGAAGTAAATGTAATTAGAGAGAGAGAAGAAGATAGACAAACAAAACGATATGCTGATCACTTCAAAAAGTTCTTGAATCACTCAAAAATATCACCAGCAACTGAGCCACAGAACTATCAGTGAACTCAAGCCCTCTGACAAAAGTCGAAGTGAAGTCCTGAACGCCATAAAACTGCTGAAATGGGAAAGCAGCAGGACCAGATGGAATCCCGCCAGAAACACTGAGAATAGACGCAGGGATAACAGCGGACATGCTCACACCACTATTGCATGAAGGTATGGAAGGAAGGAAGGAAGGAAAGGTATCTGCCGACTGATTGGAAGAAGGGTTACCTTGTCAAACTCCTGAAGAAGGGAGACCCTCAGTCTTTGAAAGAACTGGCGAGGAATCATGCTCCTGTCCACCCAAAGCAAGCAAAATATTAGGCCGCATCATCCACGAGAGACTAAAGGATGCACTGGATTCAAAACTACGACCGGAACAGGCTGGCTGGATTCAGGAAGTACAAATCATGTGCGGACCAAATTGAAACGCTTCGCCACGCATCATCATGGAACAGAGGCATAGAATATCAGTCAACTCAACTCTACCTCAACTTCATCGGCTTTGAGAAGGCCTTTGACAGCGTCAACCGAGAAGTGATTTGGCAGCTGCTTCAACACTACGGAATACTACCACAAACCCTTATCAACCTCATTCAACAACTATATGAAGACGCATGCCACATGCCAGCCAAGTAATTCACAATGGGAAGCTCAGTGATGCTTTTGAAGTGAAGACAGGAGTGAAACAAGGTTGCCGCCTACTATCACCCATGATCCTTTCGGATTGTGGTCGACTGGATCATGCAGCAGACAACAGTGGGGAGCGAGAAGATGGTCATAGGCTGGCTGGACCGTGTAAAAGATCCTAGAAGATTTGGATTTCGCTGATGACTTGTGCCTGATGTCACACAAACTTGAAGATCTATAGGCAAAACAAACCAGTTGAGAGAAGAGGCCAGGCAACGAAGACGGGACTTCAAGTGAATGTAGAGAAGACAGAGGTGATGAAGATACCGCACCAACAACAACAAACTTCAATCACCATGAATGGGAGAAACTTAAAGGAGGTAGCCTCTTTCACCTATCTAGGCAGCATCGTTTCTACTACAGGCGGCACAGGCAAAAGGACGAGGACGTCAAAGTCAGGATCGGAGAAGCAAGATAGGCTTTCATTAGCCTGAAACCAGTGTGGAGATCTTCTGCACTCAGCACAAAGAACAAGACCCGAATTTTCAACACTGACTTCAGTCAAGTCAGTGCTTCTATATGGTTGGGAGACTTGGTGCGTTACGAAAGGGATTTCCAATACACTAGAGATATTCATCAACAACTGCTTACGCTGGCTCGCTACTGAAGCTCAGATGGCCAGAAAGAATAAGTAACAAGTAACGCTGGTTAGCTGGCTGGCAACGAACCAACCAAGAAGCTATCACCCAACAAATATGCAGAAGTAAGTGGAGATGGATTGGGCATGCACTGAGAAGGCTGGCTGGGGACATCACGCGCCAGGTCAGGCCGTCGAGTGGAATCCTCATGGGAAGCGACGAGTTGGACGTCCGAGGGTGACATGGAGGAGATCGTGCGAGGAGGAAATGAGAGCTTCTGGACAGTGGTGGAGCCAGGTTGAAAAGATTGCAGAGAAGAGAGTGAAGTGAAATGGAGACGTGCTACTGAAGCCCTATGTTCCACTAGGAACCCAAAGGACAAATAATAATGATATATCCGTCAACCGACTGCAATTTATTTCATTCAATGAATGCTGTGTCATGTTGATAGAGCATCAAAAAAATTTTATACTAACTTGTACAGTGAATAAATCAGACTTGGAGTTCAACTTCGGGGATATTCGTAACATCTGTGGTCTGAATGTTTATAATAAGACTTTTGGCTGCAATCCATAGATAAATGATGATATCTTTTATATTCATTTATCATCGCAGTTGTGATTCATAGATACTTTCGCCTCCGGGGTGAGTATTATGAAATACCACAAGCAAATTAGTTAATCCTGTCCTGATCAGGAATTGAAGTCTTTCCTGTGGTATTATGTCATCGAGATGAAGGGCGTTAGTAATAACAAGTTTTACATTTGACATTTTCCTGCCGGGTAACATTTTAAGGGAAATTCTTTCTGTCTAAAATATGTCATTTTGACTATCTGAGTTGGAAGTGGTTTGACAGACTTGTATTGATACTTAGTGATGTTTGCAGGTGGCACTAAAATTTTGACCGCTGCAGGATTCAAACCAGCTACCACCGGGCCACCCATCCGGTCCTCTACCAACTGAACTGCGAGTCCCGGTCCGGCAACCCGGTGGTCTCTGCTTTGAATTACACAGCCATCCAAATTTTATTTCCACCTTCAAACATCACTCAGTATAAAATATCTATATTTTTCAAAATGCCTTTAGTCACAAGATTTTGTACTTCAACAGACCTAGGCTATTGCTACATGAAATTAATATTAAGGTGCGGCCTTCACTGAAGATCTAAGTTACTTCTATAAGTCCTTTTACTTCGTTATCATTAAAAGGAGATTGAATGAAGCGCTGTTGAGTTAATAATCGGCCTCATCACTCATTTAAATTACCATTTCAGCCCACTGATCCTCGTATTACTCTATTCTTGGTGATAATGTTCACCCCTTGTCTTACATTGCCTCATTTTGTTGATTGAATCAAGTCTATACAAAGAAGTCTACTAGCTTAGCTATACAACAAGAACGCATGTTTTCTTTGCA